ACACGTGCAATGAGACAGGGAAGCCTGGGCCTCCCTTTCCAGGCTGCTCTGCAAAACTGTGGACTCAGGGGAAGCTGGCTGTACTGCTCCCCCACCTGCCCGCCGCCCCTTCACCAGGTTCTCACTGCAGAGTCCAGCCCAGCTCTGGGCCCTGAGGGTAAAGGAAGGGGATTTGGGTACAGAAGCCAGATAGGGCTGGGCACGGGGGCTCACGCCTGTAATCCCAACACTCTGGGAGATTGAGGCAGGTGGATCACCCGAGGTTAAGAGTTCAAGACCAGCCTGGCCAACAAGGTGAAACCCATCCCTATTAAAAATACAAAAAAAAAAAAAAAAATTAGCCAGGCATGATGGCGCACACCTGTGATCCCAGCTATTCAGGAAGCTGAGGCAAGAGAATCATTTGAACCTGGGAAGCAGAGGTTGTGGTGAGCTGAGATTGCACCACTGCACTCCAGCCTGGGTGATAGAGCGAGACTCCACCTCGAAAAAATAAAAAAAGGAGCCAGATGGCCTGGGTCTCTATCTTGGCTCTCTCATTTGCTGGCTCTGTGACGTTGGGCAAATCACTTCGCCTCCCTGAGGCTCAGTTTCCTCATTTGTAAAATGCAGACAATGATACTGCCCGATATACAAGCTGTTTATGAGGATCAGCCGAGAGATTTGCCATGAACTCACTTGGTTAGTAGGGAGTGAGGAATATCAGCATCTCACCAAAGATAGTAAACCTGTCTCAAAGTGCTTGGCTGCTTGAGGGAAATTCAAATGGCCATTCAGCCTGGTGTGTGTCATCAAGAGTGAGGGACTGGATAGCCACAGCTGACACCTTCTGTTCAGACAGTGACAAGATGGAAATATTGTCAAATGGGGGGGCCTGGGCTCTTAAACCTGACTCCGCCATTTCTAACCATCTGGAAGTCTCTTTCGGAAGGGTTATTCTGTGCAGGTCTGTGTCATAACCAGGTACCAAAAAAGTTCAGTGGGGTGGTAGATTTCAGCTCAGTCTTTGGATAAATGTTTCTGAACCAAGGAAATGTCCTCTTAGGAAGTAACACGCTCCCTGTCACTGGAGGGGTTCAAGCCCTAGCTAGCAGGCTCCTCATTCAGGCACGATGATGGCTGAGTGCCCTTTGTTTCTTCCCCTGGGCTTGCGGGCAGCCTGTTTCAGCCCTGGCCCCTCACCCAACAGCTGCCAGCCTATGCCTCTGAACGTGCCACTCACAAGTCACCCTTCTTTAGTGCCCGCACACACTAGAGAGGCCTCATATGCTGTGGGGTTGTTTCATCTCCCCCAGAGCACCAGAGCCCCTCAGCCCGCTTGTTCGGTCTCTTTGAGTAGAAATCATCACTGACGTCTCAAGTGCTGTGCTCATATAAACCTCAAACCCTTTGAGGGCAGCTCCAGAATTCGGCACTGCCTGCTTGGTCTTCGCATTCCTAGAGCCTGGCCTCGGGAATGGCCACAGCAGAGCAGACTTCCTGCTGGAAAGATGCTGGGGGCTCCTCCAGCACCTTCTCTTGCAGCGGGCAGTGCTCAGAGCCCAAAACGGGAAGGGAAGGAGGGGCTGGCTCGAGTGGCAGGACCCAATGGTTGCTGCTGTAGAGGCTGAGAGCCTCCTTGCCGTTACATAACTGAGGTCTTTTTCCCTCCTATTTTAGATCCTGGTGCCATCTGCCCTGATTTTCCTGCATCACCAGCTCTGGGCTAGAGGTTAGATCTGGCTTGACACCCAGCTCTACCTCTCACTTGGGGACAGACTTGGAAAAGCCCGTTTCCTTATCGGTAAGTAAGATAACCCCACCCTGCCTACGTGCCAGGCTTGCTGTGAGAATCAGGTGAGAGGCGGCAGCAGTGGCTGGGTAGCGGGTCCTGCACTGGACACTCATGCCTGGTTGCTCTCCGGCCAACCCAGCCAGGGGAGCCTCTGCCTGCTCATGTCAGCTCCTGCATCACAAGCGGTTTGCACAGGTTTGCAGAGCCGGGTCCTGTTTGAAATACAGGCAGTGAACAGACCTCACAAGTGGGGAGTCTTTGTCAGACCCCCTGCCATGGGTGGCAAGGGCGCAGCCCTAGCAGCTTGTGACAGGTGGGGCTAGGCTGGCTGTCGCCTGCTCACAGCCTCTCGGCCCCGGGTGGAATGCTAAGCGCAGCAGGTGCTCTGCAACAAGGCACAGTCAGGCACATCTTGCAAAGAACCCTTGCCCAAGCTCCAACCATCAAGGGAGGGGTTTGTGCTAGCTGAGTCACCAGACCATGGGTCCACACAAAGGTCTCCTCCCTACCCCTTACTCTGATAAGGAGTGGCTCTCTGCCAGCAGACAAGCAGTGAGGGTCTGGGTGCCTGGTGACCCCAGCTGGCTTCACTTCCATAGCTGTTGTGAGCCACAGTGTAATGTGACAGTGAAGAGTGCCCCTCAGGAGACTTGTTCTGGCCCTGGTTCTGCCCTGGATTTACTGTGACACTGATACTGAATGAGTCACTTCCCCTCTTTGGGCCTCAGTTATGTCATCTATAAAATGGGAACAAACACCTCTGTTTTGTCCACCTTAACTTCTCTCTCTTTTTTTTTTTTTTTTTTTTTTTTTTTGAGACAGAGTCTCACTCTGTTGTCCAGGCTGGAGTGAGTGCAGTGGCATGATCTCAGATCACCGCAACCTCCCCGTCCAGGTTTAATCGATTCTCCCTGCTTTAACCTCCCAAGTAGCTGAGATTACAAGTGCCCACCACCATGCCTGGCTAATTTTTGTATTTTTAGTACAGACGGGGTTTCACCATATTGGCCAGGCTGGTCTTGAACTCCTGACCTCTGGTGATCCACCCGCCTTGGCCTCCCAAAGTGTTGGGATTATAGGTGTGAGCTAATGCCCCACGCCACCCACTCTGGAAAAGATGAAAAGTAGGTCCTACACCCACCTCTAAGCTTCCAGAAAGCCAATGGTAAACATAAGGTTTAAGTTAGCACTGCAGTTATTTGGAGGGAGCAGTACCCTGGGCTTCGCAGTCACTGGAAATGATTAAAACCAGGACAGCCTATAGGCCGGCCCAGCAGCTCGGACTTACTCATAAGATTCCATTAGATGAATATGCAGCTGCTCTGACATTCGGTTCTGTTGATTGAGACCCAGAGTATGTGGCCCCACTCTAGTTCCCAGGCAGGGACGCACACGTACAACTCCAAGGCTCCATCTATTTTTCTTTAATAAACTTCAGCACGAAAACAAATTCGCTCAACATGTAAAAATGCAATTCCAAAGGATCCTGCTAAAACAAAGTCCAGGACACGAAAGCATCCTACTGTTATGTGAATGCAATGGCCATCAAGCGTCCCTCTCTGCGCTCTGGAGAGTTTCAGCCCTGCCTGCCTCCCCTCCCTCCTGGAGCTGGGACAGGGCATCCCTGTCTGAAGACAGCGGGGACAGAGGCCCAAGAGGCAAGCTGAATTTGCTCATTGTGAGACTCTTTCCTTGGCACTGCCTGAACCCCATAGCCTACTCCAGCTGCCCGGGTTCTTCTGCCTTCTCCTGGCACCAGACTCCAGGTTTGGGCCACGCAGCTGCTAGAAGAGCGGGAACACTGTTTCTAAAGGGGCGTTTCTTGCGTCTTTGTTCCCAGTTTCCGAGGTGAGAATCTCGAACGCCGTGAGAACCCTTGGGCTCCGGTGGCAGCTCGGAGTCTGGGGCAATGGATGCCGGCACCGGCTGCGGAGGAGGCGAGCGCCCTCTAGCGGCAGGCCCAGCCCGCCCGGGGAGAGGCGGAAATGTTATTCGTAGTCTGATTTGTAAGGCTGGCACTTGGGACCCTGCCCTAGGCCTAAAGCCACCTGGAAGACTGGTGTTTGGTTTTGGTCCAGACATACAGGCCCTGGGCAGTTGCAGGGATGGCAGCTTTCAAACTCAAATCCAAGAAGTGATCATGCAGACTCTGACTAAAGTGGCACCACTTCTTAATTGAAAATAAGGCCAAGGCGGGAATGAAGGCTACGCTGAAGCCTTGCAGAACAGGGGTGTGTGTGTGTGTGTGTGTGTGTGTGTGTGTGTGTGTGTGTGTGCCTGTGTGTGTAAGCACCATGTGAGGCAAGCAGGGACCCCAAATCCACTGCTAGGGGAGAAGATGCCACAGTGTCCCACCATGGCACTGCCCCACTGACACTGGCCCCACCCAAGGCAAAACCAAGCAGACTCAAACCAGTAACAATCTGTCTTCTTAGCCAGAGAGCACCTGCACACAAGTCTACCCTGAGTCCTAAAAGAGGATGGAAAAATCTCAAGTAAAAATCTCCAGGGCCGGACACAGCGGCTCACTCCAGCACTTTGGAAGGCTGAGGCAGGTAGATTACTTGAGGTCAGGAGTTCGAGACCAGCCTGGCCAACATGGTGAAACTCCGTCTCTACTAAAAATACAAAAATTAGCCGGGCGTGGTGGTGCATGCCCATAATCCCAGCTACTTGGGAGGCTGAGGCAGGAGAATCACCTGAACCCGGGAGGCGGAGTTTGCAGTGAGCTGAGATGGCGCCGCTACACTCCCGCCTGGGAGACCAAGCGAGGTTCTGTCTCGAAAAAAAAAAAAAAAAAAAAAAAAAATCTCCAGAAGGATTCCCACCCCCTCCATACAGCCAGCTCTGAGTCACTGACTGCTGGCTGGCCAGTCACACAGCACCGCGGACATGCAGAGGCACCAGTGGGCACTCGGTATGTGTGGCTCAGATGAAGACACAGAGTTAGTCAGAAGATTCTTTGGTAGATGGATTCAAAGCAGCCCTGCAGTGCAAAATGTGAAGTGTTTCCACAGCAATGGCATGAACACATGACTGGCACTATTTATAAGCAATAAAAGGGTTATTTCATTCATCCTCTCTAAGCTGCAAATTCTTCACGTACAAAAGAAAGAAACCTGTCCTTTTTATTCAGGAGACTGGCTTGAGGATCAAATGAGAAAATTTTTTTAAACTGACAATGTGGCTTAAAGATGTAAAGGAATTTTGATTCTATCCCATAATCTGTTTTTAATATAAATAGGTTTTCCCAGAATCTCTGTATGAAAATCATCTCCAGAGAGACAGATGCACCATGTTTGCCCTGAGCTTTGGAGGCCCCTGCCTGCCACCCCACACCCCACTTCTGAAGGTGCAAGTCACTCACTATGCAAACAAGTCAGGCTGGGTTATTCCCTCTGGGTAATGCTAAAACCAGTTATGGGTCTTCCTGGGACAGTGGATAATCTACACGTGGATAATCAAGAGTTGACTCTATGGGTTCCTCCCTCCCCTCCCCTTTCACCAGGGATCCCCGATGGAGGCCACAGTGAGACTCTTCAGCGGATGTAGATCATGTCGGAGATGGCTCCAGGCAAGTGGGTCATGATCTGCATTCGCAGCCACCAGTAGTAGTCCATGGGGTGGTAGCGGGTGTAGGGGGTGGTGGCGGTCAGGGCATGTGTGACGGCCTCGATGACAGGGGACGTGTCTGTGGAGCCGCTGCTGCAGTAGGTCTCCATCCTGGCGATCTTTTCATCAAAGTACTTCTTGCCGTAGTCCTTGCGCACGACCTCAGGCAGCTCGTCCCACATCTTCTTGGCAATGGCCTGAATGCTCTCGGGGCTGTAAAGGCTGGTGGCAGCGATGAAGTTGCCAGGCTCCACCACACTGACCTTCACGCCCAGGGGGTACATCTCATATCGCAGGCAGTCCGAGAAAGCCTCCACCCCGAACTTGGTGATGCAGTATGGGGAACGGGCTGGGTTGGCCATGCGGCCCAGCATACTGCTGATATTGACGACACGGCCTACAGAGGGAGACAGAGATACCTGCTCAGGTGGCACTGCCCTATGACACAGAGGGCAGAAGTCTGGCATGTCTCCAGAGGCTTGGCTGGAACCCCTTCTGAGCCACCCAGGAGCCTTTTCATTCAGTAGGCAAGGCCAGCTCACGCCCACGCCTCAGCATCAGCACCCCTGATCTTCCTTGGGAACCTGGCTGTGCCAGGCGGGACAGGGGAAGACAACTGGGTGACAAGCAGGAGGGTACAGTGTGATGGGCAACACACGACTGACTCAAAAACCAGATCGAGCCCGATCCGGTGATAATAATTTGGGATGAAAACATAAGGGGAGAATGGGGAGGCAAGACAGCTGTGTCTGTGTGGATCTGAGCAAGGTCTGGTGCGGGTTAGGGAGAGACACAGCTTAAAACCTTCCCCTTCCCCTTATGGAGCTTAAAATTCAGCTCCAATAGTAAGATGTGCAGATCAGTCACACACTAAGGCCAAGTGTCGATCCACTGATATCAACACTGGCAATGGGGCTTGGAGGGCAGAGGAGGAAGTACCTGGGGCTGCAGCTAGGAGGGAGCCCCGAGACAGCCCTGAAAGAGGACAGGGCCTGTGCTGTTAGGCTCACGTCCCCAGCTCCATTCCACCTGGATGGAGCCCAGCACAGTCTGGCAAACAGAGCAGCAGGAAGGGGCAAGGGCAGGGTTTCTGAACCTGACTTCAGGGCTAGGACATGAAGCGAGAATCCTGCGCATTGGGAGAGTATCCTGACCCCTCTCCCTCCAAGGCCCTCAGCCACAGGCCCAGCCTGGGGGCATCAGGGGCCTCCCACTGCTCCTCCTGGGCCTGGGAACAGGGGGGTTGGAAGTGGATTGCATTTGGCCCAGCCTGGGAAGCCCAGGCAGATCTGGAACCAGTTTTCCCTAGGTGTGTACCCAGGAAGGAACTCACAGCCCATCCTGGGCACTGTGGGGAGGCACCTTTCAGAAACCTCTAAGTTACTGAAGGGTTAGGGTTTTCTTCTAAAATCCTACAGCTGCACTTCGTGTTAATGCCTATTGTTGCTAGAACTTCACAATAGATGTATGGATCTTACCCTTTTTGCCACAACTGCCTGCCATACTAGGGAAACGATCCAAGTCAATGGCTTCTAGAGTGGTTGCTCACATTTGGCCACTCACGTGGTTTGAGCGTTTTGTTGGCTTTCCTTTTTTTTTTTGAGACAGAGTCTTGCTGTGTCGCCAGGCTGGAGTACAGTGGCTCGGTCTCAACTCACTGCAGCCTCTGCCTCCCAGTTCAAGCGATTCTCCTGCCTCAGCCTCCCGAGCAGCTGGGACTACAGGGGCATACCACCACGCCCAGCTAATTTTTGGTATTTTAGCAGAGACAGGGTTTCACCATGTTGGCCAGGATGGTCTTGATCTCCTGACCTCATAATCCACCCGCCTCGGCCTCCCAAAGCACTGGATTACAGGTGTGAGCTACTGCGCCCGGCCGGTTTTCCAAATTTCTAATCTTGATTATTACTATTGTTGCTTCATACTACAATTACCTCACTTTTTAAACGACAGTATAAATAACCCATAGAATGAATATGCCAAATTTTGCTTAACCACACCCAATTGATGCAATGATGTGTACACACAGCTTTGTGCAAAGGGTGATTCCCTCTCTAGATGAGGTTCCCAGAGTGGATGGCATCTAAAATCTTTAAGCTGTTGCTACACAGACCACTGACCTCTTACCTGCTCTACTTCCTGAAAGCCACACACCTCTTTCCCTCGCCTGGCCACAGCCCCACTGCCCAGCATCACCCCGGGCTGAGCAGAGCCCCTGGGATTCATGAGCCCAGCCTTGCTAAGCTGTGGATGTTGGAGCTGCTGGGACAGGTATTTCCATTCTGAGCAAAGATGAACACACAGGGCAGGCCCCGGGGCAGGAGGGCGCTCCCTTTCCCACTCACCTTTGGCCCTTCGGATGAGAGGGAGAAAGGACTTGGTCATGCGCACTGTGCCCCACAGGTTCACTTCTGCCACCTCCTTGTAGGTCTCCATGCTGGTGAACTCCACCTCCCCGAATGTTGAGATGCCGGCGTTGTTAACGAGGCCCCACATTCCTGGACAGGAAGGGAGAGAGGTGTGCGGTTACCACACGGGCTTGGTCCCAGACCCTGCGGGCCTGAAGTGCTGCAGCCCTCCCTGATGTCTAGAATGTCCAGTCCTCACGTCACATCTGCTTGGCTCGATCTCTGGGCCCGGGATGGATGTCCCAGCCTGTGGCATCCCCCGGCCTCAGCGTCACTCACCTCCAACTCCCACTTCCACTCTACTCCATCCCATCCCGCCCCCACACCCCGAGTTGCACGCCCCATTCCTGTTTCCTCATCTCTACTTTGAAGCTTTCACTTACATCTTCTCTCGCTAGAAACCAGGGAAATCACAGGGGTCTTCCAGGCCAAGCCCCTTCTGCAGGACCAGAGAGGGGACCAAGCTTGCAGGTCACGCATCGAGTCAGAGGCTCAGCCAAGCCATGATCATGGGTCTGGCCCCATCCTGCTCCCCACAGAGACCTTCCTGACAACTACTCCAGTACTCCCCTCCCTCCTGGAAGCCATGGCATTCCCTGTTTGCTGGTTGTCACATGTGAGGTTCCACAGAACTGAGTACAGATCGGAGGAAATGGACACCGTCACAGTATACTTGGGTTCGCTGTTTCCTGCAACACTCGCTGAGTAAGGGACGCTTGGCTTTTGTAGACTTGGAGCATCTCGGTGCTGGAAGGTTTCCTGGAGTTTACGCAGTCTATTAACTAATCGTACAGCTAGGAAACCTGAGGCCCTGAGGGGGAAGGACAGGCTTAACTTTATCCAGTAAGTCAGAGACAGGCCTGAAAGCGGCAATAAGGAGGTAGCCGTGTTTTGCAGAGACCTCTCGGAGTTCAGGTTTTTGGGGTGCAAAGGCTGGATGGGTCAGAGCCTCAGGACAGAGCTGGGCCCTGCCTCTTTGTTGTGGAAACCCTCAGGGTTCAGTCTCCTGTGACAAAAGCCCCGTGCTCCTTCCCGAGGTGCCACCTCAGAGCCCAGCTCCCCTCCCCGGGCCGTCCCTGCCTGTGGGAACTCAGCCCGGCTTCATTTTCCAAGTGAATCATGGAAATGAGTTTGTGTAAATGACAGAGTAATTGGTCTCTAGCTGCTTTCCTTCCGTATTACCCAAATGAAGGCTTTGTTCACTGCCCTCTGGTGCCTTCTCCTTCAATTACGGAGAATTCAGGGTGTTTATTAGCGAAAGGAAATTGCTGGCTAACAAAGTGTCCATGAACAGCTCCCTCCCACTTGCCACCAAAGCCTTGCTCACTCCCGGCTCTAGGTCTCACCTGTGACCTCCCTCTGATGCTAATGACAGGGTCAGCATCATCTGCAACAACGCCACAGCTCCCGGGGCCTCCTGCAGATGTACCCTGAGTCTTCACCCTCCTCTCTTCCCAGGAGGAGCAGCAGGCCGCTCCCCACATGTCATGGCTGACACTTCCCACGTCATCTTCGAGACCACAGCCAATGATCCTTCTCTCTCTTTCACGCAACTTTAGCTTTCCCATTGCCCATGCCTCCAGCCCTTCAGTGCTGTACACATTAGGTGCTCAGCAAATGTGTTAGATGAATGAATGTCTACAAATACCGCATTTCCATATCCGGAAGATCCTTCTGTAACTGCGCTACTCGCTCTCCTTCCTTCCCTCCCAGGCTTCCAAAAAACACACTCTATCCACGAAGACAAAAATTTGCCAGGTGTGGTGGCGGGCACCTGTAATCCCAGCTACCCAGGAGGCTGAGGCAAGAGAATCACCTGAACCCGGGAGACGAGGTTGCAGTGAGCCAGGATCAGGCCACTGCACTCTAGCCTGGGCAACAAGAGCAAGACTCCATCTCAAACACACACACACACACACACACACACACACACTCTCTCTCTCTCTCTCTCTCTCTCTCTCTCTCTCTGTCTCTCTCATCTCATCTCTCCATCTCCCTTCCATACCACACTGGGTCCCAGCCCTCCAGCTGTCTTGAACCTGTACTCTCCAGGGTATCCAGGTTGGTATGCCAAGGACATCATCCCCAGTGATTCCTAGGCATCTCCTGCATCCAGCCCTGACACCTTTTTTTCACCTGCCCCCAGATACAAGGGTTCCCCAACGTCCCAGCCGAATCCTGCTCCTCTCAAATTACACTCAACTCTTAGATCCCCTCACCTTCTTCATGTGTATGAATTTTCCAGCTGTTTTGTGTTTGATTCGTAAGGGGCAATATCCCATGGCCTAAAATGCATAAAGCCCTTTTGCTACCTCAAAATAAAACAATTACATTTGACACTACTATCCAAAAGAGTTTAATGAAACATGACCTGTGAAAGATATAGCCCCTGGATTATAGCTTTGCTGACCTGGTGAGTGCTGAGAATTTGTGGACCTAGCTGCCATCTGGCGTCCTCAGCCAATGTTCTGAATAAACCTGACAGAGGCACTCCTGCTGGCTTGGGCAACAGCAACTGGGTTCCTACAACAACCCCAAGACTGCCTCCACATCAATGGCTCCCCAGTTCTCCTCGGGAGTCACGGCTCTCTCCTCATCCCCCTCTCCTCCTGCTTCACTGCCACCTGAATGTCCGATAGGTCTCCAACTCACCCTAAACACAACCAACACATCAAGTTGCCAAGCTGCCCCAGCCTGCTCCTCGTCTTTGTTAACGATTTCACTTTCATCTGTGACTCCTCCAGCTCCTCGACCCCTCCCCATCTAATGAGTCACCAAGTACTGTTAATATTCCAGATCGAGATCAACATGACAGCTGGCAGGTCCCTAATTAAGCCCTTTGCATGCATTAACTTCTCTGATCCTCACAACCACCCTGTAAAATAGAGCCTTAATTGTTTCATATCTGGTTGAGGCAACCGAAGCTCAGAGAGCTGAAGCACCTTGGTCAATGTCACCCAGCTAACAGGTGGGGAGGGTGGGATTTGGACCCAGATCCGTCTGAGGACAAAGCCCTCACACTCAGCCCCACACCCCAGGCTGCTGCTGGTTGCTTCTGCTGGGTGGGTTCTTCCTTCCCGTTTTCTCTGCCATTTGTTTGGGTCCTTGCTGCCTCTCTCCTGGGCTGCTGGAGAAGCCTCTTCCTGGGTCTCTGTGTCTCACTCACTCCTCTACCTCCATCTTCACCCCACCCGTCAGGTAGACCTTCTGCCCATCAGTCACTTCCTGCTCTATGGTCTCCATCCCACAGCATGGGAGGCAAGGCCTTTCCTGGGCTTCTCCCCCACTTCTCCTCATGTGTTCTGCCCGCCCGTCAGCCTGAAAGCAACTTGTGTTGAAATTCTCCCCATGCTCTTGTAGGGGTCCCATCCAGGTGTGAGCATTGGACCGCTCTCAGAGCACTACCACCACTTCACAGATGGGCAAGCTGAGGCCCACACAGGGTGCAAGCCCACCAGGTGCTAGCCAAGGTCACATTTCTAATAAGAAGTGAAGCCCAGGTCAGGCGTGGTGGCTCACGCCTGTAATCTCATAATCCCAGCACTTTGGGAGGTTGAAGCAGATGAATCACCTGAGGTCAGGAGTTTGTGACCAGCCTGGCCAACATGGTGAAATCTCTTCTCTACTAAAAAAAAAAAAAAAAAAAAAAAAAAAAAATTAAATTTAAAAAAATTAGCTGGGCATGGTGGCAGATGCCCATAATCCCAGGTACTCCGAAGGCAGAGGCAGGAGAATCGCTTGAACCCGGGAAGCGTAGGTTGCAGCGAGCCGAGATCGCACCATACTGCACTCCAGCCTGGGCGACAAAGCAAGTCTCCATCTCAAAAATATATATATAAATAAATAAAATAAATATTGACTGACTGACTGGTAAGTGATGTGCCAAGATCAGGCCATGCCCACAGCCTGCTCTTGGGCTCCCAGGCTCGGTGTCCCCTGGGGTGGGGGCAGGGAGGGCTGGTCACAGCCTGCGGATGTCCTCCCTGGGGCAGGGGACCCGTGCAGAGGGCTCCGGCTCACATCAGATAGTCTCCTTCATCTCGCCCCCCGCGGCTGGCTCCCCATGCTTTGGCAGCAACTGTTCCACAGAGCCAGGGGGCAGGGCATCAAACTCGCCCTCCAAATGTGCCCCCATGGTGGGGGAAGAGGAAGAGAACCCCGATGAAATGCCCTGCGTGGGGTAAGCGGGGAGACGGAGCAGAGGGGAGAGGAAGACCGGCAAGAGAGAGCGCGCTAGATGGGGGTCACAAAACTGCATATCTGACAGATGTACTGTTTTTTCTTTTTCTTTTCTTTTCTTTTTTTTTTTTTTTTTTTTTTTTGAGACGGAGTTTCGCTCTTGTTATCCAGGCTGGAGTGCAATGGCGCGATCTCGGCTCACCACAACCTCCGCCTCCTGGGTTCAGGCAATTCTCCTGCCTCAGCCTCCTGAGTAGCTGGGATTACAGGCACGCGCCACCATGCCCAGCTGATTTTTTGTATTTTTAGTAGAGATGGGGTTTCACCATGTTGACCAGGACGGTCTCGATCTCTTGACCTCGTGATCCACCCGCCTCAGCCTCCCAAAGTGCTGGGATTACAGGCTTGAGCCATGTACTGTTTTTTCATATCTAAAAGTCTTCAAATCTTTTCCCAAAAACAAATGCAGTATTGGCTAAGTAAGTTCATGGTGAGTGGTTTCTCCAGCCCTCCAGAATGCGGAAAAAGCAGCAGGGGAAGGTTTGTGCATCAAGCTGGTGCTGGGATTTGAGCTCAGATCCCCTGCACAGAGAGGGTGAGTGCCTCCCCTCTGCGTGGGCTGGGCCCATCCTGCCTTGCAGGTTAGGCTTCCTGGCCAGTCCACTACGGAGAATGGAGGTGGTTCTGCCCCAGAGAAGTAGGGGACAGAGGGCTAGCACCCCCGGCCTGGTGCGTTCTCTGCTCAGGTCTCTGGTGATGATGCCTTTCCATGGGCATCTTAGATCACCACAAAACCCACACTATAATCAAGTGGCTTTATGGCGCTGATGGAGCTGTTTTCCTGCCCAGTAGTTTATGAAGGCAATATTCCAGCTGCCCAGGGAAGGTGGGAGGGAGGAGAATTTACTGCCAGGGAGGGGCGAAGCAGGCTGCAGGTTCTGAACTGGTAATCATCACAGCGGGACCCATTCTGCCTTTTCTTAATGGAACAGGAGCACTAGCTCTGCCTGTTAATTATTAAACAGATGTTCAGTGAGAACAGAGAATGGAGGGGCCTGTGACTGGCCTGTTGGGAGGATGGGAACGGCAGTGGGCTGATGAGGCAGCACATCAGCGACAGGCAGAGCAGCAGCGTCACTGATAGCCACACACGAAGCCTCTGAGGCGTTGCTCTGAGCGACCCCATGTCCACCTGCTTGATACATGCTCAGCAGAGCTCCCAGCAAGGAATCTCGTCACTCCTCCCATTTCCTCCTCCTTCCCAGACACTGGAGCTGCCCCACCCCATTCTGAGGGAAAGCAGAGGCCTGCATGCGACATACCCTTTCTGCCTGAGCTGTCAGGGAGCTCAAAGGTAAACTTCAAGATTCGCTTCTCCAGACGCTGCTGGGGGCCCCGCTCCAGGGAGCTCCATCCCCCACTGCTGTCGTCTACGTGAATGGCACCACTTGGTGGAGACACAGCTCCTCCCACCAAGGTCCTCCACTGGGTGAACTGGAAGGGTATTTTAGTCCTTATGCTACTGGAACTTTCTGTAGCTTTTGACCCTGTTGGCTAGTGGTACTGCCCCCCCTCTCTGACAGCTGTCTCTCCCCTCCTCTGACCCAAACACTTATATTCCCAGGGGTCCCTCTGTGCGTCTCCCTGATTCCCCATGTTACCTCCTGCCGTGGGCACCTGCTCTTCCAGCCGGGACAGTCCCTCGGTGGGAGGCGCTTCGGTATCTCCCCATCTCCCAACCTGCTCCTGCAGTGCAGGCCACCAGGTGTCCAGGACAGAGATTTCACGCCTCACCTCATCCCCCCATCCAAGTCACCAAGTCCGGCCAGCTTCGCCTTCTCAGAACTCCTGGCACCTGACCATTCCTGTTTCCCAACACCTACCACGTTAGTTCCGGACTATCAAACTCACGCTTAACTCCCGCTTTGAATCCACGTTGCCACTGCTGTCCTCGGAGGGAGCCAGGCCATTCCCTCAGGACGACTCCCTCAGCGGCTCCCCAGTGCCGTCGGGAGAGGGGCCATGCTCCCTCACCTAGGATCCAAGACCTCCCTCCCCAGCCTCCTTGGCTGCCATCCCCTCCGTGTGACCTGACCTGTGCGACTCATACTGAGGTGCCGGGCTAATACCACCACTTGACAGACAGCCCCCACCACCCTACCCTGTCCTGCCCCCAGCTGTGGTTCCTGCTCTCCCCACGATCTGCCCTAACTGGCCTGTTTCCGCTGCGCCCCCGGCTGGACCAATGCCTCTCTCAATGCACGGCTCCCTGATTTTGAACTCAGTCCCTGGCTGAACTATGAGGTCCTGGGGACAACAGACCGGGCCTTGACCATCTTTGTGTCCCCAGCACTCAACCCAGCTCCCGGCCCACAGGGGGCCTCAGTGGGCGTTGGCTGTGCTGACCTGAATCGGTACGTAGCCACAAAGCACTCCATGAACTCTGAAATCACCTCCTGGCTGCATTTTTTTCATTGCCCTTCTGCACGAGTGTTTAATTGAATCCCCCTCCTCTTACTGTGCAGGAGGAAGAGTTTAAACAATAAGAAAAGGAGCATGGTGGCAGGCTGCTGGCCAGCAGAGGGTGGTGTGTGGCAAGGGCCCCTTGCAATGGCCCCATACACAGCCCCTCCTGCCCGAAGGGGCTCCCTACCTTTCTCAGGGTCCTTCAGGCTCGAGCGGACGATCTCCACCACTTTCTCCACCTCTTCGCTGCTGCAGACGTTGAGCTGGACGGTTCTCAATCGGTCACTGTTTAGGCTGTCCAGCTCCTTCACCCCATCATGGCCTTTGTCCTGGGGAGGAGAGAGGAGCTGCTTCTACCTCCTTCCTTCCCACTGAGGCGGACCCTGAGGACCCCTGCCAAGGCAGGAGCTGGCCTCACGTCCTGGCCAAAGCCTCAGGCGTATTGGTAACTGCAGATGTGATTCTCTGGAGGTCTGACCAGGCCCTGTCCCACCAGCATGCGAGTTCTTTTTTTTTTTTTTTTGAGATGGAGTCTCACTCTGTCACCCAGGCTGGAGTGCAGTGGTGCAATCTCAGCTCACTGCAACCTCTTCTGCCTTCCAGAGGACGTTGAACCTTCCAGGTTCAAGCGATTCTCTTGCCTCAGCCTCCTAAGTAGCTGGGATTATAGGCATGCACCACCACGCCTGGCTAATTTTTGTATTTTTAGTAGAGACAGGGTTCACCATCTTGGTCAGGCTGGTCTCGAACTCCTGACCTCAAGTGATCCGCCCAGCTCAGCCTCCCAAAGTGCTGGGATTACAGGTGTGAGCCACCGTGCCCAGCCACATGTGGTTCTTTTTAATCCTGAGCACCGATGGCCTATCAAGCACCAAGCTAAGCGCCACAGACACAATCATGAATAGGACCGAGAGCTGGCCCCCAAGGCCTCATGACAGGATTCTTTCTCCAAGCAGAGGCTGCAAACTTAAGTGGGGCAGGTGGGGGGCTTGGGAGTACAGCATATGTCAGGAATTACCCATGTGGGGATGGAAGCCCACAGTGCCAGATGCTTACACTTTTAAGCTAGTAATTGGGAAATCTCTTAATTCTTTTAAGTGTTGGCAACTTACACACATTTTTTTTTTTTTTTTTTTAACTGTGTGGGCCAAAGCACGTCCACAGGCCACCCAGGAGCAGCAAGCTGCCAGTTCACTGCCTCTGTTCTAAGCCAAGGGCCCATCAACTCCAAATGAGTAAGAGGCCAGAGCCAGCTTCGAATCCCAGCCCAGTCACTGAGCAGGATCTGTGCACTCAGAGGTGTCCCTTAACAGGTGTGTTTTAGTAGAGACATCCTCTTATCTATTTTTGTCCATTTTTTCTGGCTGTAAAACAAGAACATCACCACCTGTCCTGACCTGCTCAGATTAATGGAGTAAGGAAATGGATTTGCAAAAAGCCTGTTAAGAGTATAAAGCACCGTGCCGGGCGCGGTGGCTCAAGCCTGTAATCCCAGCACTTTGGGAGGCCGAGGCGGGTGGATCACGAGGTCGAGAGATCGAGACCATCCTGGTCAACATAGTGAAACCCCGTCTCTACTAAAAATACAAAAAACTAGCTGGGCGTGGTGGCACGTGCCTGTAATCCCAGCTACTTAGGAGGCTGAGGCAGGAGAATTGCCTGAGCCCAGGAGGCGGAGGTTGCGGTGAGCCGAGATCGCGCCATTGCACTCCAGCCTAGGTAACAAGAGCGAAACTCCGTCTCAAAAAAAAAAAAAAAAAAAAAGTATAAAGCACCACACCAATTCAGTTACCACTCAACACGAGTGTTGCAACATGTTAAGTTTATGAATACAGATGTTAAAAAATGCTAAGTTTATGGATATTGGTGAATGCTGAGGGTTTGACAGAATAGATTGTTTGCTAGATGGCAGGAAAACCTAGCTGGCGCCCCCCAAGTAGAAAACTACTTGGGACATTCCAAAGCGGCAGGACAATGTATCAATATCATACACTGGTCAAAACAATTCTTTAAGATATCCGACCCTGCCCCTGTGGCGAATGCTTCTTAGTTTGTCTGTGACCTGTGAGCAGGCAACAGCTGCCTACTTGGTATATTTTTGTGTCATGAGAAAATACAGAACACCTGTTTGTTAATAATAATCACCTGTTCAGAGAGAATAAATACATGGATCAGAATCTGCGGGGGGTCTTCAGCCTGAAATGCTGGCAGCCCCAGAGGCCATCAGCTTGGAAGCCTGTTGGCCTCTGGGATAGACCCACTTTGCTGTTCTATCTGGGTGTCTCCTCTCAATTTCTTCAGCATCACCTGGGTGGGGGGTCTCTATGGCCGAGCTGGCTCTCGGTAAACCAGAAAGGTGTCGCTCATTTGGCAAACATTTCTTGGACCTCTATTGTGTTGCAGCCCTGAAGATAAATAATTCCGCCCCTATTCCCAGAGCCACGTTCTAGGGGAGAAGACAGGTAAGTTCACAAGCAACATAGTGACTTGTGCTGTATTGAACCTTGTAGGAGATGGGAGGGACACAGGAGGGGCAGGCAGGGGAGACCTTCCAAGGGCAGTGACAGCTGAGGATATTAACAAGAGGGGGCCGATGGGGACAGGGCACTGCGGAAGAGATAAGAGGATGCCACCATAAGCCATCAGTTGCAGACAGTACAGACACGTAAGGAAGTGGTGGACGCAGGGCAGGAGAGGTGGGCTGGGGTCTGCTCGTGGGCACTGCCGAGCTGCTGGGGCACTTCCATCAGAGCAGATGGCATTTTCTGAGTGTCCACCGTGCTGAGCACTGTGCTAAGTGCTGACATGCTTTGTCATATGAACCCTCATGTCATGAGGCGGTTTATGTTGCCACATTTCATACTAGTCTATGAAATATGGTTTTTTTTTCACAATAGGGATGAGCTACACTCGATATGAAAATTAAACATAGTTGGTCTTAAATGACTTAATTGGCAGTGACTTTCCTGAATGGTGCATGGCACAGTGATGCCCTTATAAGAGGACTGGAATAGCTGCCAAGAATAAAGAGTAGAGAAATGCCCACTCTCCAGCCAACGGCTTGCCCATGGCACACACAGCTGCTACTGAAACAAACATCCCAGGCATGGGCAAGGGTAGAGAGCCCAGGATGGTCAGCACATGTCAAAGGTAGAAAATTCTCCTCTGAGGCCAGGCATGGTGGCTCATGCCTGTAGTCCTAGCACTTTGGGAAGCCAAGGTAGGTGGATCATGAGGTCAGGAGTTCAAGACCAGCCTGGTCAAGATGGTGAAACCCTGTCTCTACTAAAAATACAAAAAATTAGCCAGGTGTGGTGGCATGTGCCTGTAATCCCAGCTACTCAGGGGGCTGAGGCAGAGAATTGCTTAAACCCAGGAAGTGGAGGTTGCAGTGAGCCGAGATTGTGCCACTGCACTCCAGCCTAGGTGACAGAGCGAGACTTCCATCTCAAAAAAAAGAAAGTTCCCTACTGGTTAGACTGAGCCTTCTAAATGCTTTGAACCAGAAGAACCCTAACCCAGGACTAGAGAGATCCCATGATGCAATTTCAGACCTAGGAGAAAATGGTGACAGGACTGCCCAGTGGGGCCAAAGCTCCTGGACAGAGTGACTCTGGAGAGAAGGCTTGAGTGGAACATGATTGAGGGAGCCAATGTGTTGGCTCTGTGCAGCCACAGAGAACAGAGCCAGGGCCAACAAGTCAAATTGAGCTCAAAATGAGGTGTGATCTTCACAGGCTGGAGACAGCATGGGCTACCTGGAGGTGTTTAGGCAGTGAGTGGGGGTGGGGATGGGGGCTATCTGTAGGTACAAGGGATTGTTTGGGGGTTGGAGGGATGTTTGAGGATGGGGTGTGGGAAATGGGGTATGGAGACAATCCAGGCCTTGGACAGGAGGTCAGGCTGATTTCCTCCTAATACCCCGTCCATTCCTAGACTGTCATCATTCCAGCGTGGTTTTCCATAGAAAGGAAGCCTCCCCAGTGGCCTTTGAAAAAGCAGTGTGACATGACCCATTGAGTCTCTGCAAAGGCTTCGCACCAGGAATGCCTTTGCACAGGGCAGCCAGGCTGGAAGCTCGGTTAGTCTAAAGTTTGGTTCTGAAATCCCCTAGACGTGCCGACTTTCCAAAACAAGATGCAGGCATAGGAGTCACAGGACAGATAGGCCTGGAGCTCACGGTGTCATTCCCATGGAGGACTCCACCAAGAAAGAATTAATACCGTCTTCAAGTCTGGGTGGGATGATGCAGTGCCCACAGATCCCTCTCTGCCACAGACAGCACATAGGTACCAGGAAAACACGTGTCTTCCACCTGGTGGCTCTTAAATGCCCATGTGGTCTGAACCTCAGAAAGGTGGCTTCTAGCTGAATGCACAAGAGGTATCTGAATGTCCTTCCTCTTGAGACCTGGCTAACCCTGTTGCTATCACTCAGCTCTTCTCAGACCCCTATACATGACCTCTCCTCTGCTCTAGACAGCATCACAACAATGGCCCTGTAGTTCTCAGGGGAAGCTCTCCACTGCAAATCAGGGTGCCCATGTAAACTCTTTTTTTTTTTTTTTTTTTTTTTTTTTTGAGATGGAGTCTCACTCTGTTACTAGGCTAGAGTGTAGTGGTGCAATCTCGATCTTGGCTCACTGCAAGCTTTGCCCACGGGTTCAAGCAATTCTCCTGCCTCAGCCTCCCGAGTAGCTGGGACTACAGGCGCATGCCACCATGCCTAGCTAATTTTTGTATTTTTAGTAGAGAAGGGATTTCACTGTGTTGGCCAGGATGGTCTCGATCTCTTGACCTTGTGCTCTGCTCGCCTCAGTCTCCCAAAGTGCTGGGATTGCAGGCGTGTGCCACTGTGCCCGGCTATAAACTCTTAATCTGGCAGTTGGACAGTGAAGAGTTTTCTTTTAGAGGAAACTAGGGGGTTAATCTCACTGTCCACGGCTTCAGGCTTAGCGTCCACGCTCCCCAGGAGAGCAACGCCACCCTCCTATCTTCACCTGACAGACCACCCCAGGAACCCTCATCTGCCTTTGAGCAGCCACCACACCCTGCTCCTGACAACCATGCCAACAGGGACAGAAACTACCAGTTTGTCCCCAGTTATTCAGGGAGCCTTCCCAACCACCCTCAGCCTGCTGGCTGCAGACTCTGGACCCCTTCGGGGTCTACCTGTCCTCAGGCCAAGACTGCCCTGGGGACCACACCTCCTCCCTGGCCCCTCTGCAGGTCTCTGGCGTCTCTGTCCACCTGTCTCGCTGCTCAGGGACAGGCTTTCGGACCCGCTGAGTTGGTGCTTGTGTAACCGGCTTATTGATCAACCTACTTCT